TCTTCACCGAGCTCACGACCATCGAGTACGCCGTGCCGCAGCTACGGACGCTCAGCGCCGCGTGGTCGATGCGCATGAATACACAGCACTGCTGGGTTGACTTTAACCAGTCGTTTGAGATTGCCCACACGGTCACGCGCCAACAGCGCTGCAAGGACCAGTTTGCGACCAACGGCGCCGTGTACCTCGAAGCTATTTTGCGCAATGTGGTGTGGACCGATTATATAGCGACGTGGGGCGGCGTCAACAGTCGGTTTGTCATCGCGTACGAGCGAGCGCTGCAAGAAACATCGCAAGGGCAAGCCTTTCTCCTCTCCTTTGACGCTATTTGCTTGGTCGCGACAGGCGTCTCTGCCAAGCTGCAGCCGACGCGCCAGCAATACGTTCTCGGCAGCCTCCTTGCGAATCTCACGTCCACGAGCAGCAACTTGACGGCCGTATGCGCGCTCGACCCGTCGCTCTTTTTAGCAACGAAACGCGACACGATGTTTGTCACGACACCGCCGTCGCGTCGCCAGCCCGCCCTCGTCATCGCAGCTCTTGTCTACCTCGTCATCTCGCTCGGTATTGGCCTCTGGTACCTCTCGCTCCTCTCGCCAAGCCTGGCCAATGATCTGTGGTGGGCCGGCTTGACGCCCACGGGGGGCGAAGCCTTGCTCATCGATCTCATCAACGCCCAGTTGGCACTCACCGCGACGTCGGCCCTCAGCATCTACGCTACCGATGCGAATATGAACAAACTCTACAATGCGCCGACGGCCACCACAAGCGTGTCGCCGACCTACTCTCGCCACATCATCTTCACCGAGCTCACGACCATCGAGTACGCCGTGCCGCAGCTACGGACGCTCAGCGCAGCGTGGTCGATGCGCATGAATACACAGCACTGCTGGCTCGACTTTAACCAGTCGTTTGAGATTGCCCACACGGCCACGCGTCAACAGCGCTGCAAGGACCAGTTTGCGACCAACGGCGCCGTGTACCTCGAGGCTATTTTGCGAAACGTGGTGTGGACCGACTACATGGCGACGTGGGGCGGCGTCAACAGTCGGTTTGTCATTGCGTACGAGCGAGCACTGCAAGAAACATCGCAAGGGCAAGCCTTCTTGAGTCAAGTGTCGACCGCGCGCGCCTCGACCAGCATCAGTGACGAACTAACGTATTGGCGCCGCTACACACTCGACCGGTTTGAGCTGCAGTGGCAGAGCCGGTGGCAGCCCGGCGTCACGGAAAGCATTACTCTAGAGAATGCGATCGGCCTGCGGGAGATAGTGTCGATCAAGAACTTTGCGCAAGGCACCGGTCCCTACACGTCGATCGTCCTTTATTGGATTCCGCTCAACGACCTCCGGTTTGCAGCGTTCAACAACCGCAGTCTCATTAGAGGGTCGTCGCGCTTCTTTGGTGCCAACCTCTCGTCGACGCTGCCGAATGTCGACCCCGAAGTGTTTGGGGGTGTCACGCTCGTCTCGGGTCAGTTTGTCAACCAATCGGCGCTCTTTCGAGCAACGATTGGTCCATTCCAGAGCGTCGACTGCTTCTATCGGGGTCCGCCCCAATCCCTTCGTGATGCTTACTCGACGACGCGCGCGCAATTGCACAAAGCTCAGCTGACGGCGCAAACCTATCCCGCCACGCTCGTGCTGACACCGGTGACGTGGCGCCACCACGCGTACTACGGTGGCAACCCCATTTGCACGGGTTTACCGAAGACGCCATTTGTCCAACAGTCGTTTGACTTTTATGACGACTGCTCGAAACCCAAACCACTGGTCGCAACACTCAGCTCGAGTATTGCATTGGCGTTGGCGCGAGCCGCCACTTCGAGTCTAGCTACCACCGACATTTGCGC